ATTTTTAACATAAGGTTGAGTTGTGGAGATTTAATTAAATGAAGGATAAGTTGCAAGTCTTTGTTTAGACAAGGATACTAAAAATATTAAGCATCCAAACTGTACGATTCGAAAAAATAAAAAAAGATATTGCGATCCAGTTTTTGTCCGCAGTCGACAAATTTCCAGACAAATGACGTCACCCAGTCGAATGTTCCCGTGGCAGAAGGGCGTCTGAGGGACGACACAGCCCACGGAGGTAAGTAGAGGTTGATTTAATTTATTCGAACAGTAATAATAATTCATTAGTAAATGTTTAGCTCATCAAATCTACAGAAACTTTTGCTTTGTGGAACATTTAATTTATAAAAGTATTTATTAAGAAATATTATTAAATAGCTTTTGATCGCGACTATGTCTTCGCGGAATTTAAAAAATATATAATCAGCCAATCCGTTCTTCCAAGCTATGTTCTATATGTCAAATTTAATCGAAATCAGTTGAGCCGTTCTGTAGATACCTTCTTACAAACATACATCCATCTAAACATTCGCATTTAAATCAGTAATAATAAAATATTTTTTGTATTATTTTCTCTTTACTTTTGGCCTACAAGTGAAATTACATTTAATTTTAATACTGAATTGCTTTTTTAATTATTCATTTCTTAATAATCAAAGTATCAGGACCGTATCATTTTGTGCGTCGCTCGAGTGACATCGCCCCTTACTCATTAGCGCAGGTAATCGTCTGTTTATCTCAGCGATTGGCTGACGTCAGCCGATAGTAGAATGCTAACGAACCCGATAAGCACTACTCCCCGTTCTCCATAAGATTTTTTACTAATGATTGTAACAAGAAAAATTAACTACCATTTCACAATATCATCTAGGTTTATTTATAACGTAATGATTTTTAGCAAATTTTTGACCCCCATGACTGCTTTGCCATCATTTTAGTTTCCCATCCCTCGAGGTATTTTGCCTATACTCCATTCTGGTGATGTTTTGTGATTTTTTTTCGAGATCCCTCTGTAGTATAATCGGCAATAGAGAATTTTTGGCAATTAAAAAAACCTACACATTGTTCTATGTTTCGTTATATTTGACTGATTGAATTGTATTTTTTATTAATTTTTACCTGTTGCTTTTACAAAGTAATGTCGATAATTTGTGAAACAGTTAATCGGCAGCGAAAAATATTCCTGGTTGAGAAACTATCGCGATAGGATTATTCGTATAGACATTTAAAACATAGCGGACACATGTTTATTTTTTATAAATAGCAACACTGACACAGTATGGTCATAGTCTATGGTCATTTTAATTCGGAATTTGTTATCTGCTGAACTTCTTCCTTGCCTAATTTTAACCCATTTATACAAAATGTAAATGTTCCTTTTACACTACATTCCATGCTATAAAGTAAATCTTATCGCTGTGAAGTTAGTTTCTTTTATATCCTGACAACCAGTTTGGTTTAATCACTCGTAAAAAACTTTCAACGTTCAAATGAGTTTTACGCGTTTCAACAGTTATCCACGTGCCAAATAACGATGAAACAAGATCAGCTGATTTTAGCAATAGTAAAATTACAAACAATTACTTTGATTTGCTACGAATATTTCAGTTATTCTTGTCAAAAAATCTTTTCTTATTTTTTGTATCAAACTAGCTGTCGACGCGACTCCGTCCGCGTGGGTATATAAAAAAACTTAATTATTGTAGCCCACCCATCCATCCACATCACATCCATCTAAACATCCTCATTTATAATATTAGTAAGTTATATAAAAAGCAGCTTTTGAAGGCATAAATTCGAAAAAAAAAGAATAAATAGTATCCTATGTCCGTCTCCTGGCTATAAGCTACCTCCTCACCAATTTTCGGCCATATCGGTAAAGCCGTTCTTGAGTTGTAAATAGTGTAATTAACACGACTTTCTTTTATATATATATAGATTTTTTTTACGATAGATAACAAATCTAGAAGTAATAATTTCTGAGTAAAGGTGTACCAAAACTGGAAACATTAAGGGATAGTATAGGGCTCTCTTCAGTCGCTCTGAATACTTTCAGTGTTGCAAGAATCTGGGAGGGAAAAAAATCAAACAAATTTATAGAAAGTAATTTTATTTACAAATTTTCATATAAAAAAACAACTTTAAATTATTTTATGCTGACATAAATAGTGTTTAACATAAGTTTAATCTAAAGGACCGTCTGCAAATTATTTTAGATCCCAAAAAAAATTGGGAATTTATTTTTTAGATGAAATAAAATTCTTGCGTAAAATGGAAATGTGATTTCAACTAATACGTTTGCATCATATTTATTTAGATTGCATATGCGTTTGTCTGTTGCATATGCGTCACTTTTACATGCATAGTTTGCATATGAACAAGTATTCGCTAGTTTGAATGAATACATTTTATACCCATTTTTATTATTTATTAGCCGATGTTGAAAAGGTCACGGACGTATTCTTGAAAAATAAAATCGTAAAAAGTAAGCCGAAGAAAACTTTCCTTTTGTTATTCTCAGGAAAGATTTAAAAGAAGCCAATCATGTTCTCAATCTTCCGAGCACGTTTATTGGAACACGTGTTCGAAAGGTAAAAATTTACAAAGTTAACAATAAAGAGATCAAAAAAAAAGGTTTCGCATATTAAAATGAAAAAAAAATGTCTGATTTAAAAAAAAATCCTATAATTCTATTTGAAACTAGTTCAAGTCCCTAATATTAGCATAAGATAGTTCTCTCCTGATTTTTAATATCTAAAATTGTACTATTAAGTCATATTTCGTAAAAAAAAACTTTAATAAATTTAACTAATTCTATAATATACAATATTATATAAATTATTTACATTATATTATAATACAGGCTAATGCTATTTTAAAAATAATAAATAACTAACTTTTTACTATACAAAGTTTTTTTTTTACTTAAGGATTTACCTTATTGAGCTTATTTATTAACAATAAACTCGTTTATAACACGAATTTATGACCTAAAACTATTAAAATATAAAAAAGTACAAAACACTTTTACTCTTCGCGACATTTTCTACTTAAATACTATATTAAGAATTACATCGCTAACTTAGTAACTTACTTTTACATACTTATATCATTTGCTTATGCAAATATCACAAACATTGCATTCATTAATAAAGTACTAAATAGATAATATAACCTTTATAAAGAGAACAATTGCTGAAGTAAATAAAAAATGGCCAAAAACCCGTCTCTCCTTTCAACTAGGGTTGCCATTTAATAAAAAACAAACACGAATATCGGCAAAGAAATAAAAAAATAATAAAAACGTTATCAGTATAGAAAAAAAACACTGTCCAGTATTTCTTTGACACCACCAAGCCATGATGGCAACTCTATGGTCAACGTCAGAGTACAATACCGCATTGTCTCTGACTTAAAAAAATTAAGACGGGCATATAGACCATATGATGTGAACGAAACTTTTTATACGTCTTCGTGGTATTTTAACAAACAAATTTTATTCATATAGACTACAGATTATATCAAATATTCAATGTCAAATTCATAAAATATAGAAAAGTTTCAAAATTTATTCACATATAGAATCAAAATTGATTCTTTATGGTTGAATACTGGAATAAGATTTTTTTAAGTTGGGTTTCCATTGTCAAAACACTTTTATTTAAACATGTTTTAACACGAGTCGGCACTAGAAATACACATTAAATAAAAATAATCTGTGGTAATTATTTTTGTCAACTTCATCATCATTGTCTATGTTTTTTTGTACGGATGCGATTGTTTTATATTTATTACATAGTCTATCGAAATAAATATTTAAATCGACTATACGTCAGCATTTTATCTTTACACTTAAAATATACGATAAAAAGGTCCAGTATTAAGTACTTTTTTTATAATACTTAATTAAACTATTGCTTTAACTTCAGTTAAAAGTAAGAATTAAATAATTATTCACAATATATTTACAAAATTAGACAATAATTATTATTATGTTTTCATTTTTTATTATATTACTTAACTTTATTTATTATTCTACAATATTTTAACTTGATCAATTAAATTTTACTTAAATTAATTAAAATTATAGCTTAACTATTATGTACATATTTATTTACATTTAGAGATACACATCTTATTACAATTAGTCGGATAACTTTTTCGATTTTGACAGATTGTCTATGGATTGTAACTGTCAAAATTGATTAACTGTCAAACTGACAGGTATTCAAAGAGTGCACAATTTACTTTTAACGTTAAATTATCCTAAAATTTGCTTGATAAGTTTATCAACATGATTCAATCTTTTGTAATTTATATGTACAAGTGAATATTTACAATAAATTTTACGATTAACGTATTAATGTTCGATGTTACCTAGTGACATATTATCGCGCGTTGTCTGTGGTTCATATAACAGTGTTGCTATAATTAATCCATGTACAAAATTCATAACACGTATTTCAAATACACGAATAAATTTCCAGTTCAATTCAACAATTAACAACTGAAAATTAATATAAAGTCACAATATGTCATCATTGGTTCTGCAATTTACAGAATGTCTATTTAATGTCAAAATGTCTTAATACCGCCTGCAAAAATATACCCTGCAGTGAACAATCTGTCTCTCTTATAAATATGTTAATCGTATTCATAAGGTGCATTTCCACTGAGCAATTCACTGGATTAGTTGAAGATCAGTGTCGTGTTCACGCGGTGTCGTAGTCATGTACCTGCAGGGGAGGTTCGGGCAGGTGCAGCGCGGCGCAGAGGCGGCCGCGGCGCCGCACCGGGTAGCACCAGGCGGGCGGGGCGCGCGCGGCGGCGGCGCGGGGCGAGGGCGGCGCGGAGGGCGCGGCGGGTGCGCTGTGCTAGAGCAGCGCGCGCGCAGCACTGCCGGGGGGGCGCGGGGGTCGGCGCGGGCGGCGCAGGCGAGGCGGCGGCCGGCGGGCGGGGCCCCCCCCACCGGAGCCGGGCCCCCCCGCCGGGGCGCGGCGTCAGCGCGGCGTCGCACCCGCCCACCACCGCAGGCACGCCGCATCCACGCAGCGCGCGCGCTCCGCACGACGCGTCACCTCCTCCAGCACATCCTGATGTCACAACGAGATACAGACTTGATTAACTTAAGTAAAACCTACTATTAATTCTAAGTAAAGATTCTCATCTATCTAGATAAATCATGTTTTGAGTACACTTTTTACTGTTGTCATTCAAACAAGCTTTAAATTGATCAAGATGAATATTAATACATGTTGTACAGCTGTTTCTAGTAGAGATAAATAATAAAAAGTCGAAATCGAGGACAAAGATTGAAATGATAGTTGAAATAATATTATATAACAAAAAAATAATTAATGTGAAATACAAAAAACAAAATTAATGAACAAAGCCGAACCTGTTTTTTCAGCACAATATGTTTTCCTTTCCAATACTTCATGAGGCCTCGCTCCTGCAGCGTGGAAACTATATCAGAAGAGGCGATCGCGAGGTCCTTGCTGAGATCTCTGATGCAGAGGGAGGGCCCCGCGGCCGTGCACAGCCTCTTCAGGAGGGCTTCCTTCCAGTACGACCGATACGATATCAGACCCAGATCCGACAGCGGGGTCTCAGGCGAGCCCACTTTGCCCTCCACTTTTGTTAACAGATAACCTGGTAGATAAAGATACAAGATGTATTGCATATGCATAGATGTACTTAAGAATATATTAACAGTAGCCTACACTAGAAGCTTTCGATAATACGTCGCTACTTTTTAAAATAAGTCGATTATTTATTAAAAAAAAAAAAACACTTTTCTCCATATTTTTTACGTAAGCACTCACAATACAATAACAAACATATAATTTGGCAGACAATAAAATTAAGTTACTCGCAGACCGAAACTATATTGTTTATAAGTAGCTCGCAAAATGCAAACTTGAGAGACAGCCGCACTGGGCAATACTTTATGGAATCGCTGTCTGTCTGTGCGTCTGTCAGTTTACACTAAACATTCATTTGGTTTGTCCTTTATCATTCATACGCCATATTTCAATTTAATTATTAGTAGTCAGAGTTTATTTACGTGGTATCCAAAACAGGATTGGTCGTTAATATCACTGTCAATTTGGATTAAAATTTCGAGTTAAAATATGTACTTAACCATAGTATTTCTTAATATCGGTGCATTTCACAGTCGTTGTCGTGAACTCGAAATACAACTCTTCAAAGTAAAATATACGAGACATATTAATTTTACGGTGATCAAATTTTGCGAAGTGTTATCTTATGAATTTATCAATTAAGTATTCAAAGAATGTTTGGGGATCTTAAATCATTAAAAAAAAATTAAAGAGCTATGCGTACGATTTACAGATCCATATAGATCATTGGAGGAATGACAAGTAGATTTTTTTTTTTGGGTTACATTGTAAAATGGCCAACTTTACACTTTAGAAGTAACAATATTAAAATACAGTAAATATAACACTGAATATTTGACTAGAATCAGATCCAAACAGACGTTAGACAGTGTACCTATAACTCGCACGCTGTAGTTCTGACAAGAACCGTGAGAATTACACATGCCGTTGCGTCTCCGCTCCTTAATTTCTCTTATAAATAATCGATAGGTAATAGTTATTTAATCCTTTAGTTTTACGACTAATTCATTTCACAATATAGAGAATTTTATAAAGATGCTAGCTTTTACCCGCGACTCCGACTGCGCGGAATTAAAAGCAAACTATAAGTAGTCTATGTATTCTTGCAGACTATGTTCTACATATATACCAAATTTCGTCAAAAGCGAAGATACCTTGAAACAAACATCCATCCATCCGTCAAAACTCTCGCATTTATAATATTAGTAAGAAGTAAGATATAAATGACTAACCTCCCTTGAGTTATAACAATAAATATTAAAATAATATGACATTACATGACGAACATGCTTAAGTTGTTTCGCAATTAACATTTTAACGAGAATTAGACGATCGTAGAGTTGTTTGCGTATAAGTTGCGAATATCCAATTACCGCGCGAGGGGCCACAAACGAACACCTACAATGTCGCCGAAACAAATAATTAACTTGGCCATCAAAATTCCTCGCATCTACAATTCGTCCGTTAAGTCTCGCGGCCGCGGCCCCCGGCGCCCCCTCTTTGGGGGTAGTCTAGACGGCAGACCGATCTATACTGCAGTGCATCGATCGTAGTGGGGTCGACGGCCGCGGCGTCGCGACGCCCGGCGGGGGGCAAAACAAACCCACCCCGGGGCCACGGTGACCGCTCAGGTGAGCGGCTCGCAAAAAATACGTGACCGCATATTTTAGCACGCATTAAAGTTCACGCACTTCGCACGAACGGTCACGAACTTCAATGAACTATGTTTTATCTTTACTTTTCTTCATAACTTATACAGACTGTATTCAACTGTAACTCCTTAAAAGATATATGAGTTGCCACCACTCACAAATCTTTTAAGTTTTGAAAACATCGACTGGACAGATTTTGTCAGGTCTTTGTCTGGAAGGTAGCTAATGTATATGAGAATATTATGGGTTACTTTCCGCGCTGACGAAGTCACGGACGATCGTCGTGGGACGTCTCAGACATAGTTTAATATGATCAAAAAATAAAGGGCGTAAGGTAAGAGGCTGCGACTACCGACCCTTTGGGTAGGGGGTTGCGGCGCGGGATGTCTCGCCTAGACACTACACAATAATCCTAAACCATCTTGCACCCTCTCTTTATACACATCTTAAAGTACACAATTCGAGAATATTATTTTCATCCTGACTACGCAATTTAATTTTAAAACAGCCGTTATAATAAAATACGCTTTTGCTAAGTTACTACAGAAAACGTATAAAATATTTAAAATTATACTTACTGAAATCGATGAGTAGTCTGCCGTAACCTTGCCTCTGATATGGCGGGAGAGTGAGGATACAAGACACGTTGTAGTTCAGGAACGAATTCTTTTCCTGCGTGACAAAAATGTTTAATGATATATAAACACTTAAATACTTTTAGGATAACCAAGTTTCTTTTCTTTCTTTTTATCAAAATATTAGCAGATTTTTGTTTATTTACTGATATTTCTTGGACATGGTGTATTCAAATGGCGGGATTCAAACCCCTGACCTCATGATCTCAAATCTGTACCATTAACCATTAGGCTATTGACGCTTCAAAGTACATCGACTATCATTTTTTAAAATTTTCTATATCTCATGTTTAGTATACCCGTAGGTCAATCACAAGCTGATAAAAAAAATCAAATAAAAGATGCAATCAAAACAAACGGTCCTTTGCACTGACGATGGTGGGTGGCTGTGGCCGCAGACAGGGGGGTTATGACCCCGTATGCTTTGATCTCCGTGCGTCGATATTGGGAAATGCCTAACAACTTTTATTGATTACGTTTTTGCTTTATTTAATAACTTTGACTGTTAAAAGGTAAATTAGTGATTAAATAAACAATAAAACTACTTAACAATTAGTGGAATAATATATGTGGGATTTAAATAATGTAAATCCTAGTTTTTTTTTTTATATCATAAGATGGCAAACGAGCGAGCGGCGACCTGAAATCGCTGAAATAGCGAAGTGACCGTTGCCCATTGACATACGCAATTGCATATGCGTTGCCTATCTTCAATCGACGGAGAAGAGGATGCACAGAAGGAAAATATTTTCCCTTCCCATGCATCCTCTCATCCGGAGAGTCCAGTTCCACTTCCCATTCTTTTCTAATAAGGAAAAGGGTGGGAAGGGAAAGAGGACTAAATTAGGCCTCCGGTACGCACACTCATCAGACTGTACGCGGAATTGCTTCCACTTGACGCCTGTCTTCTGTATGGTCGTGGTATTTCACCGGGCGAGCCGGAACAAATCGTGCGAAGATGTTAAAGCGGGCTCTACCACTGTTGTGTGTAGGCTATTTAAACTTTAATAATTTTGTTTGATTTCTTGATCTGTTAAATTTTGGTTAGGTTATTATGTTATCCGTCATCATAAACAATTAAAAGAAATAAGATCAAATTAATTGTTTGATTACTATTTATCAGTTGGTTAGTTTAACAAAACTCTAATTTATGGTACAACTTAATCGGAAATTATTGTGTTCTAAAAATGTTGGCACACAAACTTATATGTTATATCAATGTAAAGTTTTATTGTAAATATATACAAAGGTTTCAGAATATGCAAATTTTATAGCAGTATACAGTATCGTCTACGTGCCCCCGATATTCAAAATGGTTTCATTACGACAATATATTTTTATTTGCGGTAGGTCGCCCTAACATGCCGTGCCAGTAAGTTTAACAAATAAATTTAATATTTAACTAGCAAATATTAACCATTTTGTAAACTCGAGACTAATACATACATGTACTACAAAAGGCACAAATTAAAATAATTAAGTCGTTAAATAAACATTAAATGAACCCCTTAATATCACTACGTGGCTCTTTATATCACTGACTGCGACAGGTGTGTCCTAGAAATAAAAAACACAATACAAGTGACATGTCTATATGTCTGTCAATTACACAAAAAGGTCATGTAGTCAAACAAAAATAACTGGCCTGATGAGAGACGCTGCAATCGCGGTTACTTCCCTCAGAAAATATATGAAACCTATTTGCGCTGCACGTACTGTGGAAGGCATTGGGAAAGGCCTATGCCAAGCTGTTGGCAGATAAAAGATGATGATGATATGGGCATAAGTAAAAACCATAACATGACAGCTACAGTACAAAAAGGGTATTGTGACACATTTTTAACATTGTCACGAGGGCGCTAGTGAGCTATTAAAATTTCGTTTGACTTATACCCACCGGGCCAGATACTCTTTTCAGTCTATAAGTCCGATGAAGTATAGACACTAGAGTTTTCAATTTGGTTCGAACAGGGCCCCAAGGGGTCACCAGCGCCAGTTCACACAGACCCCCCGAATGAACAGTCTGGATTTATTGCGTTACACCCGGCCTGTCTAGACGTCTACGCCCGTGTTTACATCCGTAAATTGTCACGTGGGGTGGGGGTGTATACCACGTGTAATCGTCCTCGCTACCTTTGTTCTTGTTATTTTTTAATACACGTTATTTTTTTAATCTGTTGTTATTGTGGTGACTGCCATCATGCTAGACAAACTCGAGGCTAACTTTTTTTTTAGTTGGCTATACGTGTGCTTTGTTTTAAACATGTTTTTCACATTTTAATTAATGTTGTACGTGTTAATTATCAATTTCGAGCTAGTATATTATATGCACTCATAAGTTATTATAAGTTTTAAATGAAAATGGAAAGTTATTTTTAAACATAACTTTATTTTGTTTTTTTCTTTAGACACCTTTATTAACGTTTTATTACTTTTGTAGGCAGAAATCGTAGTTTAATTCATTTTTGATAGTTTTAAACTAGGTTTTAATTGGTTATTTCCCTATTCGATATGTCTTAGAAATACTTTTTATAAGAATCTGAAAGTGAACAAAATCATCGCTGTCATTACTTCAAACCTGAAGTATGGGTAGTGAATTTATGTATTGTAACGTTTAGTACAAAGTGTTAGTAATCAAAGCTGTATATTTATAACGGGGGAAGTAGGGGGCGCGTGGTTCGTCGACCCTCGCAGACAGCGAGGGAGTCTGGCGGCCGAGGGCAAATCGGGAATCGGGAACGTACCTCATGTGCAGACGTCTCGCCGCTTTGTTGACAACATCTGATAATCTCCTTTTACTGTCAAATGCAAGCTTCATAAAATATTATTGCATTTAAGTTACAAAGAAACGGGATTCTGAACATGATTGGACTTTGTTGAGTTTCCGATATTGGATGTTATTGTATAGAAGTTTTTAATTATTGCATTTTAATTTTTTTTAATAGAAAGGGAAAATATCTTCGGAATTAAGAAAATAAATGTTCGTATATTTCAAGTGTAAGATTTTAGAAAACTACCAACGATTCGTATACTGGATTTAAATGCCCATATGCATATGTAAAATGCAATTCAAGCAATATAAAGTGCAGACTAATAATACTTTAAATATCTATGCTTTATTTTTTAATTGGAATCGGCTCCAACAATTTTCATAAAATTTAGTACATAGGGGGTTCCGGGGGCGATAAATCGATCTAGCTAGGAATCATTTTTGAAAATGTCATTTTATTCGTGTTTTATCGATAATCATAAACTATATTAAACATAAACTTAACTTTTTCTATCGGTAAGATCGAAAAATATTATTCATATTTCATCATTTTATTAGTAATTCGTACTTAAATATAACTTCCAAAAAACACAATTTAAAAAAAATACCGGTCATCCAGGTACTAATAAGTTAAAGGAAAATGATCTAAAGTAAACAGTCTATGTGAAAGAACTACTTAGACGTATTGTGCTTCCAGTGTTCACAAGTTGAACGTCGGCTAAGAATTGTAAAGTATACATAAATTTAGAGACCGTCCGTCGAGACGTCTGGGGGTCGACGGCCGAGCTCAGGCACACGGATTTCCGGCTTTTTATTTTAACTATTTTTTATTTTGTTTTTTTTTTGTAAATTGTCAATTTAAGAATGAAATAAATATATCCTCATTATAATAATTATTCATTACAAAAAGGTATGTCGATTTTTTTTCTAGATGTCATAAAAAAATTTTTTATAAACCAACAAGAGTATATAATGCTTAACTTTCATTAACGCGTAATAAAATTTACAACCTTAAGTTAAATGGAA